GTTTTTTCTACTTTTTCAAAATAGGAGCCCAATAGAGACTTTGCTTACCAGAAAGGAGCTGTTGCTCATAGGAGAAGAGACAGCATATGATTAACCTCCATTTATGAAGGTAAATTCAAAACTGAGTTCCTTTACATGACACACTGTGCTTTTGTGAAAGAAGCACACTTCTCCTTTATTTTGTTTCCAATACAGCAAGACCAGTGAACTTACTAAGAACAAAATAACTGTGCTTTTTACACATGGGCCATATCTATTTTAACTCTGCTTAGGGAACTAATAAGAACAATAGGTTCTCTTACATCCAATACTTTGTACTTGCTGGGAACCAAAGTGAATGCTATTTACCCTGTGTATGTAAATGGGAGGTCAATAGTGACTCTCTTTACCAGAAAACAAGTGTTGCTCAATATATCACCACACCCTCTGCTGTTCTCATAGTATTTCACACAGGGCTTTCTTGTGTGAAAGCCCAAAAGGCCTGTCTCTCTCACATAAAATAACTTTTGAAAAGAACCAGAACTGGACCTGATAGTGATCTCCTATAGTCCTGTCACTGGGCAGGCTGAGGCACATGTATGCATGTGTGTATACATATTTCATACAACAATGAAACAAAAGAGTAATGAAACAATTTACAACTCTCATGATTAACAAGGCCTCTGGTTCTAATTGCGTGCTTGGAGGTAATTTCTTTCTAATCACTAATTTTTTAAGTGGTGGCTGGAAACTCCAGTAGAAATGTTTTTCCTTAATCCAAAAGTGAAGAGGCTACAGAAAGTAATTCCCACTGTCACCAGAAGTCATTAGATAAATGGATCTCATTCACTAATGGAACACATGGTTTGAATCTGCAGTGTCTCCCAGAGGCTCATGTTTTGACCACTTGTTCTCCAGCTGGTGACACTATCTGGGAAGGAGATGGAATCTTTAGGAAGCCCATCTTCCTGGCAGAAGTAGATAATTAGGAGTGGCCTTTAAGGTTACAGCCCAGACATAGCTCTGGTCATTCTGCTTGTCCTGGTCAGCCATGACATGAGTAGCACTGCCACACACTTCTGCGGCCATGGACTGAGCCACTGCACCATGCCCACCCTGCTGTGATAGACTGCAGATCACTGACCCTGAGGCAAAGTTAACCTTTCCACCCTTGTTTCTGTACATATAGTGTCAACAGCAGCAAGAAGTAAACTAAGGGTCTGACAAGATGGTTCTGTGGGTGTGCTGTCTAGTTTTGTGTCAACTTGACACAAGTTAAAGTCACCTGAGAGCAGGCAAAATGGAGGTTTTGACTGAGAAAATGTCTCCAGAAAGTCAGGCTGTAGGCAAACCTACAAGGAACTTTCTTAATTAGGGATTGATGTGGGAGGGCCCAGCCCATTGTGGCTGGTGCCGCCTGGGCTGGTGGTCCCAGGTTCTGTAAGAAAACAGGTTGAACAAGCAATGAGGGGTAAGTCAGTAAACATCATTCCTCCATGGCCTGTGCACGAGCTCCTGCCTCTAGATTCCTTCCCAGTTTGGGTTCCTGCCTTGACTTCCCTCAATGGACTGTGACTGGGGATATATAAGAGAAATAGACCCTTTCCTCCCCAAGTTGCTTTTGGTCATAGTGTTTCATCACAGCAGTTGAAACCCTAACTAAGACAGTGGGTAAATGTGCTGGCTGCTAAGCCTGATGACAGGACTTCAATTTCAGGGACACATAGAGTGCAGCATGAGAACTGATTCCTTCAGCTCTCCTTAGACCATCACACATGCTGTGGCACACACATGCCAACACACGCAGACACACATAATAACTGTAATAGAAAAAGGGAGGCTGGAGAGATGGCACAGTGGTTAAGAGCACTGGCTGTTCTTCCAGAGGTTCAATTCTCTGTACTTACATGGCAGCTAACAATTGTCTGTAGCTCCAGTTCCAGGTACCTGACACACTCATATAGATATACAAGCAGGGAAAACACCAATGCACAGAGATGAAAAAAACAATAATAAAATAAGGAGAAAAAGAAAGTAATCCAATTTATGGCCTGATCTTCAAATATTCATGTGTTTAATAACTGAAGTTATTCTTGAGTCTCTGTATGAAAACGTGCTTCTTCTGTTTTTGATACGACAGCCTGAAGGTCTTAAGACAGCAAGCCAACATAATCTGCACAAATGTAGCAAGATGTCAACAATAGAAGTATACTGGTACTGACTGGAGTAGGTGTACGTGAGTGTGGTACACACGTGCCACAGCATGTGTGGGGAGGTCAGAGGTCAACTTTCTGGAGTCAGTCCTTTTCTGTCCTGGTGGAATTTGGTGATGGAATTCAGGTGGTCAGATTCAGATGGCAAATACTTTTACCTGCTGAGCCATCTCACCAATCCTACTTCAAGTTTTCCATAGTAAGTTGTTGGAGGTGGGTGGAGTCACCATCATGCCATTGAACCTCAAATTCTCACAGAATTTTCAAAGATTCACCCATGAGAAAATGCATGAACATCCATGATGCAAAGTTTACCATTCATTGCTACAAAGGGAAAAAAATTAAGATGTCACTTTCATAAAATGAAATTTTTAAATAAGCAAAACAGTTTCTTTTATAAAACCTTCCAATGTATTTGTATAGTTTTTCTGTACAGATTTGGTTTTATTTACTAATATTTCTATAACCATCCTAAAAATTGTGACTATCTAACCTATAATGAGACCCTACTAAATACCTGAATATAAGAAAACCTTACTTGCCAGGCAGCAGTGGTGCACACCTTTAATCCCAGCACTTGGGAGGCAGAGCCAGGCAGATCTCTGTGAGTTCAAGGCCAGCCTGATCTACAGAGCGAGATCCAGGGCAGGTAAGAAAACTACACAGAGAAACCCTGTCTCAAAAAAAAACCCTCACTTGAGAACACTCTGTAAAAATACAGATTCTGGAAGCTGGGGAGATGGCTCAGGGGTTAAGAACAATTACTCTTTTTCCAGAGGTCCCAGAACCCACATTGGGTGGCTCCAAACCACATGTAACTCAAGATCCAGTGGAATTTTCTTCTGGCCTCTGTGGCTACTGGCACATGCATAGTGCACACACAGACATGCACATGTATACACACACTTTGATGTGTGTGCATGCAGCAGCACAGGCCCACACACAGATACATACACACTTTTAAAATCGTTTTTAAAAACATAGATTCTAGGTACTCATTTGCTAGGTAACTCTAAGAGATGCCTAGAAATCAGAAATTTTGAAACCTTTAATTTGTTTGCTTTCTCAGACAGGGTCTCACTATGTATCCTAAGAGGACCTCAAACTCTCTATCCTCCTGGCCCAGCTTTCTGAGGGCTGGAGTTATAGGTGTGCACTCTATCGCCCATGTGATAAACTTTATTTACTAAATAAATCAGCATATACTTCATTTCCTCAGTTCATCCCTGTCAAATATTGTTCTGAGTACTTTGCTATCATAAATAATAATCGCAAAAACTCTAATAGGTATCTCTCTTCATACACTGTTTTCTGAAGATGATAAAGGGGGGCAGATCTCCTTAAAAAGTAAATATTTTAGTAAGCAGGCACTGGTCACAGTTGCTCTGGGGAACACACCACCCTACTGTAATCTGAGAATCACAGGGAACACTGTCAGATATCCAAAGCTATGCTTGCTATTTGAAAAGGATTCATTAAGAGATTCCTAATAACTGGGCTAGAAAGAGGGCTCAGTAGCTAAGAGCACCTGCTACTCTTGCCGAGGATCAGGGTTCAATACACACATTGAACACATGAAGGCTTACAACCATCTCTGTAAGTCCAGTTCCAGAGAATCTGGCACCCTCTTCTGGCCTCTGCAGGCACCAGCCACACACACACAATGCACATACTTACATGCAGTCAAAACACTATAACAGAGCTGGGCATGGTAGAACATGCCTTTAATCCCAGTACTCAAGAGGTAGGCAGGATGATCTCTGTGTGTTGGAGACCAGCCTGGTCTACAAAGTAAGTTCTAGGACAGCTAGGGTTGTTACACAGAGAGACTCTGTCTCAGAAAACCAAAAAGAAAAACCACTCATAAAATAAAAATCATTCTTTTCAAAATGACAGACTCCTAATTACCTGAGAGAGGCTGGCCTTTGCCTCTGTCGCTATAGGCACAGAAGCCATGCTACTTTTGAATCTACAACCCACAAAATGACTCCTATATTTTCAGTTGTCTAACCCCACCCCCACCACCTGCTACTCTGTGAATCAAACTCAGGGCCTCAATGTACAAAGCAAGTGTTCTACCACTATTGTCTTATGCTTATCTAAGTTCATAATTGTGAAGGAGGAATAGCTCAGTGATACAGAGCATAAGTTAGGTCCTGGGTTGATCCTAAGCATTAAAAATAAATAAATAAATTCATTAATTAAATAACTTTTTAAAGAAGACCAAAAGTTTATATATAATAATCTAATGTATGTCATAGTTACTATAGTAGCAGCATATACTTGGAAAAAATCACTAAAATATTAAAGGTCTCACAAAAAACAATTATATGAGGTTATTGAGTTAATTAGACTGATTTAGCCATTTCACAACATACAAATTTCAAAGTGTTATTTTAAATGCATAAATATATACAATTTCTGTCAAGTAATCTTTTACAATGTTTTAATCCCAGCACTTTTAAGACAGAGGCAGGTGGATCTCTGTGAGTTTGTGGCCAGTTTGATCTACATAGCCAGTTCCAGAACAGCCAGGCCTACAAAGGGAAGCCTATCTCAAAAAAGAAATCAAGTGTTCATTATTGAGTTCACATTTATGAGTCCCCAAGGCACTTTCTCACACACAGTCTTATACATGCTAAACTAGTGTCAGGTCTTTGCAAATGCAACACATTTGGTGTCCATCCTGTTGTTGTCAGGCTGACCTCAAAGTCTAAAGCATATGTGACTTACCATGGCCTGTACTGCTAAAGATCAAAATGGCACACAGGTATCACCCGAAGACATATAAAGCCTATGTTTCTTAAACAAGAATGTGGTGCTCTTTGCCCAAGTTTCTCTGAAACTTCTTTTCCCTCTTTAAAAGGAGGTCGCACAGTACTCAATATTAAAAAATCACTGACTAAAGAGAGCACAGAAGCTGAAGCAGGAATATTGATTATACTTAGGAGCTCAGCCTAGACTATGTAGCAAGTGTCTGGGTTACACAGGGAGACTTTGTCTTCGGAAGGAAAAAATAAAATCAAAAAAGCCCAAAGCCAGCTAAAGCTACTCTATTTTACTGATAGGAAAGAGACCCTTAAACGAGGTCATAAAAATTACATAGTAGCTTAAATAGAAGCAAATCCCCGGCCACCATTACAAAAGGTAACTAGTAAACTTAGGAGTGAATTCTAGGCCAGCCAGGGACACGAGTCCCCTGGAGGGAGAGGGGGAAGAATAATCCAGCACACAGTGGGCAAAGGCAGGCGGATCTCTGAGTTTGAGGCCACCTGGTCTACAGAGTGAGTTCCAGGATAGCCAGGGCTGTTACAAAGAAAACCCTGTCTCAAAAAACAAAAAAAAATCAAAAGAAATCCTAATACCCCACTACATCCATTATGTTCACTACTTCAAGCCCATTTCTGCCCTCTGTAGTCCCAATCTCCCTCGCATCCTCTCCATGACAGCTTGCCTCACTACACTTCATTAATCCTGACCCGCAACTGGATTCTCCTGTTCGGCCAGGAGAGCCATAACAGACTCCACCCGCGACAGAACCGGCAGTTTAGCTAGCCCCTCCCTCGGCAGCAGAGCTAAACCCGAGGCGCAAGCACCACCAGAGCCCGTCACGCTTCGATGGCGTCACGCAAGGCGCCGTGTCCGAAATCTGGTCGCATCCATTGATGCCGCCTGGAGCAAGTCTGTTATTGTACTGTGCCTATGTTGTTTCTTGGGCACAGCGAATTTTTCCAGCGGAAATGTAAACAAGAAAGAGTCCTGGTGGCTGAAAGCTGCTGAAAAAAGCAAAGAAAGGGAAAGAATGAGAGAGATCTGAAGGAAACGTCATCAAAGCGCGCTGGAAGCGTCCGACAATGAAGGGTAAGCTGGATGAGAGACACGAAATTGGGCCGGGATGACAGTATAGAGGGTCTGGAACAGGAAGCTGAATCAGGGATACCTGTCACAACAGAGTCCCAAGACAGTTTCCAGGGAAACTGTGTACTATTGACCCATAGTACACAAAAGAAATCGAGGCGCAGAGTGTGAACTGGCCGGACACAGTCTCTAAGCTAGGAATAGATGTGAAGATCGAGTGTGTTCTCCCCTGGGGAGCTAGGGCTGCTCAGGGGCCCTAGAAGAGGTGGATCCAAGACCTTGGCGGGACTTAGCCACACTACCTGTGCAGATAACTGCGGACAGGACCTGCTCCCGTCTACCACCTGGCTTTTCACCCTTTGTCATGTAGAAACTTTCTTAGGCACAGTCTCACAAACCTAAGTTGTTGGTATTTGAGCAGAAAAGAGATGTGCCAGGAATGGAAGCAAGCACTGGAGCAGTATTAGAGGGAGAGGGGATACTGTAAAGATTAAGCCTCTGGGCTGGAGAGATGGCTCAGAGGTTAAGGTTAGGACCTCTTCCAGAGGTCCTGAGTTCAATTCCCAGCAACCACATGGTGGCTCACAACCATCTATAATGAGATCTGGTGCCCTCTTCTGATGTGCAGTCATACATGCTATATACATAATAAATAAATAAATCTTAAAAAGATTAAGCCTCTGATCTGCTGATTTACACTCCTGCCATGTCCTTTTATCAGAGCTCAAGTACCTTGGAATATCTCAACTTCACTATTATTACATGCTCAACTAGGAATAACTATATTTAAAATTGTTTAGAAAAGTTAATGAGATTAAAATAAATGTATACACACATCTATGAGTGTATATTTGTGTCGTTTTAAATCAACTACTTGACAAGCAGTGAATGTACCAGAGCTATTACATGTGTACTGCTGCAGAAAGATTTCCAACTCTGTTGCTAGGCATCTGGGGTAGGTAAAACAAAGTTATTCCTAGGATTCCAGGCCCTGCACATTAATCTCAATAAACAAACTAGAGTCTCAATCTGCAGTTCAACAGAGAACTAGATTCTGTATGTAAAACTGGTAACTACCTTGGTTTGTTTGCTTGGTCAAACATATACTCAGGGAAGCACAGGAGAACAGAGGTGGGTTTTTGTTTCTTTCTTTGTTATTATTGTTGCTGTTGGGATAAGGTCCGCTATATAGTTCTGACTGAGCTGGAAACAGACTGTAAACAAGGCTGACCTCTCCCTCTGAAGTGATGGGATCAACTGTGTGTGCTACCACACTCATCTCAGGGACTAAATGTGTAGAGTGTAGTGTGAGCTATGTTTTCTGGTCATTTGCCCTTTCTTACCACATTTACAACTGTACTCTGTCCCTCAGTGCCACCATGATGGTTTCCTCTGAACAAATAAGAAACAGAAGCATGGAGGTTTAGAGAGATTTTGGCATCATGCTGGTCATATTTAGAATTTGAAGAAAGACTGTTGTATTTTATCTGTCAGGATGTGTTCCAATTTTATAGATTCTAAACAGTAAAAAAAAATCTGTTTTAAACTTCTTGTAGTCAGCAAAATGTAGCGTTTCAACCAACCACCCCCTAACCATTAATGTCATCTCAGTTTTAGTGTCTTCATTCCTTAGTGAGCAACTGCCCCAGCATAATTATAACTTGTATTTTAAATCAGAACTACTCTAAATGTGATTCCAATGAGGAATTTTTTGAACCTTCAGAGTTTGGAGAGTAGGAACTAAAACCCCATGTTTTAATAAGATTCCAGAGGTTCTTAAACACATTAAAGCTTTGAGAGGTACTCTTTTTTTTTTTTTTTTGGTTTTTCGAGACAGAGTTTCTCTGTGTAGCTTTGGTGCCTGTTCTGAATCTCGCTCTGTAGACCAGGCTGGCCTCAAACTCAGAGAGATCCACCCGTCTCTGCTTCCCGAGTGCTGGGATTAAAGGCATGGGCCACCACTGCCCAGCTGAGAGGTACTCTTTTTAAACCTCATCCTGGGAATTTCTAGGACAAATCTGGCCAGAGGGAAGAGTTAAGAAGTATCTAAGATAGTTGTGGTGATACATGTCTGTAATCCCAGGAACTAGCACTTGGAATCCTGAGACAGAAGTATTAGGGGTTTAAGGCCATTGTGGTCTATGTAGCAAATTCTAAGTCAGCAAAGTGAGACTGTGTCTTTAAATAAATATGTAAATAAGCAGGATTCAGTAGAACCAGGGACATGGATCCATGGTGAAGCACTTGCCTGGCATGCATTAAACCCCACTGAGTTTAATCCCCTAGCACTACAGAGTAAAATAAAAGGATCATCCAAGAAAGCTTTGCCTTTTCATATTAACCAAGTATTCCGTCTCTAAATGAGTGTAGGTCATACTTAGAAGAGCCTTGGATATTACACTCATTCCTAACAGGAGGTAATCTTCTATTTTTGTCTTTCATCCCCCAGCTGTGATTTACCATGCCTTTTCTCATGAAGAAGCCAAGGAGCACGATGTACAGGTACAGTCTTTCAAAGGTGGGCTGGGAGCGGTAGACTTGAGAGCAAAGATGGTTCAATGTCTTCTAAGACTGGTCTAGCTGTCCTTTCCCATGGATTACTCTTCACCTTTGCAGTCAGCATATTAGGCCCCAGCAAGGTCTTTTGTGCTGATGTCTTCTTGTGCCAGGCTCCTTTCTTAGGATACCAGAGTCAGCTCTGAGGGACTTGGTCTCCAAGATTTCATGTCATCTCCCACTCCAAACATATCTTGCTCTTGCTTCTGTGTTCAGTGCTCAGGCCGTTTCATAAGTGAGTGTTACAAATTCTGTCTGGATGCTTCAGCACGCTTTGTCAGTTAGGTAGAAGTGTCACCTGTGGCTCATAAAGAGCACATGTCCTACCAGGCTGTGTGGCTCATGCCTTTAATCATTTCTTGGGAGGCAGAGGCAGATAGTTCTCTGAGGTCAAGGACAGCCAGGGATATACAGAGAAACCCTGTCTCGAAAAAACAGAGAGAGAGAGAGAGAGAGAGAGAGAGAGAGAGAGAGAGAGAGAGAGAGAGAGAAAATGTACTTGAAATCAAGATTTTTAAGGCCTTGATTTTATTTCCCCATGAAAGAGAGACCACATATGTGTTTAAAAGAACCAAATTGTCCTGATATCGATGATAGATTGTTTAGCCATCCCTCAAAGATTATGTATTCTGTCTTTTTACCCCCTGCTTTATCAGAGAGAGGGGATCAGCAACCGTTGATTTAGGTTGATGTTAACCTAAATCTGGCAGTTAGCCTCAGACATGTTTTTACTGTCTGGTTAGTGCAAAAAGAGCCCAGCAAATGGCCCAGCCAAGAGGTAGGTCCTCAGGAAAGAGCACTGCCCAGATGAAGGCCAAGTGAGGTACCTGCTGCCCAGTGAAAAATAGACTGTTGCTGCCCCAACTTGTGAGGTGCTGAAACTAGAGTGTCTCAGGACTGGGCGCAACAGTGAAGTAGTTTCACCCTCTCTTGCCTAGGGTATTACAGTCCTGTGGATGGGAGTGAGTAGTCCCTGAGATGCACTTCATGCTTTCTGCCTCAAGGGGGACTGGAGAAGACCTCTCCAACAGCAGCCACATGGAGTTCACAAGGCTGAAAAGCAAGGAAAGAAGATTGTGGTGCTCAGTGTCAGATTTCCTCCTCCTTGACCTGCCTGGAACCCCCAGGCAATTTCCCCTAGTTCTGGAATGGCTCATTTCCCTAACAACCCCAGCTCCCTTCCACTTCAAGCTAGTCTTATGGTCATGACTTATTAAATAACCTGTATCATGCATTTCTCAAGCTTCCTTCCCCACAAGGATTAGAGAAGTCTTGTGTTACAAAGGATTTTGAATGCTCAATAGAGTTACCTCAGAGAAACAGGACAGGAAGTCAGTGTTTGACCTGGCTACAGTGTAGGACAGTGTCACAGTTAGCATGTGAGTGTTACTTTTACATCTTGGCAGTTGTGTGTAGAAAACACTTGGAAGACAGGGATTTGTAGCCTAGATCAGCAAAAATGGTGGCTCTCAGGAACGGGGTCTGAGGGCCCTGGAGTCTGAGAACAGAACAGTGAACCACACCACTTGTCTCCGAGCAGGAGCTGGGAAGCCAGCAGCCTGAGGCCTTTGTGAGGGCCTTCCTGAAGCAGAGCATCCCTCACTGGAGCCAGCAAGACTGTGAGAGCCATCTGCAATGCAAGGCTGTGGTCTTGGAATACTTCACTCGTCAGAAGTCCAAGCAGCAGCAGAAGAAATCCAAAGGCCTCACTGCCAAACAGAGGAGAGACATGAGGCTCTTTGACATTAACCCAGAGCAACAGAGGTACGCCCATCTTTCCTAAAGGCCTTGCCACTCCTCATTGCCTGGTCTTTCTGTTCAGGGTGTGGACAGGGATTCCAGGGGCTCACTGGGCAGCCATGCCCCCTTAGTCTCAGGGTCTGCTCCTCCTTCTGCCACAAGGGGGCAGCCTCCCCTACCAATTCTCCTGTGTCCCCCAGCTTGGCCTCTAAAAGGCAGGCATTGGTGAGCCTGAGGACTTTCATTATTTAGCATCTCTCCAAGGCTCACTAATAAGTGAGTCTGTTGCCCATGGCAACAGGCTGTTTGTCTTTTAGTTTTCTAGAAAAGAGGAACTGATATTCCTTAATATATACTTTCCTGTAGCTTTTATAAGCACTAGACAGAATCACCCACTCAAAGGTTACTGCCAAGGAGAGGTCCTACCTATGCATTTCCAAAGTTTCTGAAAGGAATGTATCACTGTCTTGTGGGAGGATGTCTCCCTCAAGATAATTCTGAGTTTGTGTTTACAGCTGCTATTTATGGGCTTTGTATAACACTCTATAGCCACATAGCCTTCCACGTCCCAGAAGGCATGCGAGTGTCACTTTACTCTGGGACTGTCTCCCTGGGGTCCCTGCAGGAAGTGCTTGTTTCAGGTTTGAGCCTGGTGTTCTTGACTCCCCTGGCTTTGTGTGAAAGGGCACCAAGACAAATGGTAACAACCTCAGAGAAAAACTTTTGGTCTACTCTCACCTTCCAGACAATCCTGCTACCTTACACAAACACCTACCTGGCCACCTGCACCTCCTATAACAGTGAGTTAAACAAGACTGATGTTCATGTATTCATTTCTTTTGGGAAAAGGAGTTTGAGTGAACAGCACCTGGGTTGTTACGGCTGATGCTACATTGCCACCTTCAGACGCTCTTCCTTCTCTGAAACAGGGGTTCCACCATCACACCTGCAACTGGCCAGCAGGAAGGGCATCAAGGAAAGGGCCACCTCTTCCCTTCTCAAGAGCAGAAATTTAGCTTTGAGAAGGTTCTACGAGGGAAGAAATTGACGTTCAAGGAGGGGAATGTACTTGACCTTGGCCACACTGTCATTGAGGCTTACACGCAGTCTCAAGTGCTCCCTCATGCTAATTCTCAGCCCTGAGCCCAGCTGTTTTGCTGAACACTGGAAATCCCAAGCTCATGTTTCTGACTTTGTACCTGTTCCTGACTTATGACAGATACAGACTCTTCCTCCCTCTGCATGAACTCTGGAAGCGGTACATTTGTGACCTGTGCAACAGGCTCAAGCCAGACACGTGAGTTTATTTCTGAAGCCTGCCATGGGATTAGAGAGCACTAGAGATGCAGCCCGAGAAACCAGTTGGCTGTGGGTGTTTGAAATCCTGTTTGCTTTGTTACCAACGTGTCTTTGTGGCATTCACCTACTAGGCGGCCGTAGATGATTCAGGCCAAGCTCCTAAACGCAGATCTTCACAGTGCTATTATTTTCAGGTAATTTCTATGAGAGCATATGGAGACTGTTACTCAGGGGCAGTATTCAGCCTCTCTTCTGTCACTTGGCATTCCTGAGGTATCTCTATGTTACAAACAATGAGAATCTAAGATGGATGTGACGTGACCCATCCTGGACCCTTATTAAATACACACTAAGTGCTCTCTGCATGTCATCAGCTCACACTGTTGGCACCTAGCCTCGAGCTGAGACTGTTGGGGACAGATTCCCACTCATCATGGTTTCCAGGATTCCATTACCAGCGAAGACCTTTCCTGTGACTGCCAGACTCAATCACCCTGTGGCACCCAACAGCTATCTGGTCATCCAGGAGACACCTCAAGCTACCTATCTAACACAGAGCTCTTGGACACCCTGGAGGTCAGCTCTCTCTGACCTGGATTCCTCATCTCCGATACTGTTACATCTCCATATCCAGTTTGTTCAGGCTAGAAACCAAGGAAGTACATTCACATTACCTCTTTCCTAATCCTCCACCTCAAGTCGATTAACACACCTAGTTCCTGAATCTAACCTACCTCCAACTCACTCAAGTTTCTGTGGAAGGTTTTTCTCAACCTGCCCCAGCTCACATACTGTTTTATTCCCACACACACTCTAGATTTAATACCCAGAATGAAGGCTGTCATCAGACTACCGACTGCTGCTTGCCCGTTCTAAGCCTCTAGCAGCTTCAGGTCCACTCAGAGTAAAAATCTTTGGTGTCTTTGGGTGGCCTCTGTGTGACTTGAATACCAGGTACCTTTGTTTGGGTCCTTCTCTCAATGAGGGGGCTCTGCAGGTTCATTGAATGACTCTTGCTGTAACTCAGGTACCTTTCCTGATGTCACTTCCTGGGTGCCTACCACCACTAAAGTTTCCTCTTCACTCTCATTATTCTGTTCTTATTTTCCTCATAGCCATTATCAGTATGAAGAAACAGAATTGCCCATGTTTTTCTATACACTGTCCTCCACGAGAGCTTCAGCTCCACAGGAGCAGGATACAAGACATCTCATTCAGTGTCCTGCTCCAGCACCCACATAGGTACATAGTTTGCTCCAAATTCTGACTTCCTTGAGGCAGATAGGGGACTGCTTGTGAGATGGCTCACCCCTCATTACTGCGCAGCCCTCTAAAAGGACTGCATTCCAGGAACAGTTCAGGGAGCCCAGAAGTGGATAATGGATGTCCTGCCCATGGCACTTGCTGCATCAAAGCAACAAGTCTGGTCTTTGTTGGTTCTGTATATGACCTCTTGGCTCCAGAACCCTGGCCAAAACCAAAAAGACATTTGAAAACATCCCTGAGATTGAAAGCCCAGGACAAGGAGTTGGGAAGCCTGGGCTCTTGCTGGCTTGGTCATTGCCCAGCTACAGAGTCACTATCCTCTAGGTACTCTCTTCCTCAGCTTAGAAGGACCAGGTTCCCAGTCCCTAAGGCCAGGCTGAGACTGCCAGCACTACCCAGGCCTTACCCTCAACTGCTTCTCTCCTTTGCAGCCACAAAATCCAAGTGCCCCTCCTATGTGGGGTTCACAGGAATCCTTCTGCATGAGACCAAGCATGTCTTCAAGATCATCACCAAAGAAGACAACCTGAAAGGTGTGTGTTGTGCCCCTAGGGTGTCGGATATATATCCCCCTTCCTGAGGCTCCCAAGTTCCACTTGGCTGTGGAGTCAAACAGGCTGCAGGTGCTTGCTATGTTATGAACTCCAGAGAGAGGCTCCTGCCCCTCTGGCTCCCAGGAGATATCTATGAACACAGTCAGCAGCCTGTCCATAAACAGAACAGAAGAACTGCTTGGCTGGGTCTTGGGCCCAGATCTGTTGGAGGTCCCTACCTGCTAAGGTCACCACCTCTCAAATGAGTAACTGAAAGACAGGCAGCAGGACCCAAAACAGCCTGCCCCTGGAGTGCTGAGAACTGTACCCTTGCTGGATACACTCTTGTGTCTTAACATGGTTAGCCCTGCTCCAGTGGGTACTTTTGAATCTTCCAAGATCCCAGTAACTGACCTTGCCCACAAATCCAAGATTCAAACAACAGTTGGAGGGTTTTGTACTCATTTATCTGTTGATGCTGGAGATCAAGCCCAGGACCTCTCTGCTAATGCTGTGCTCTGGGTCTGAGCTACCCCCACAGCCCTGCTTCATTGTTTTTCCATTTCCCTGTATGTTCTTCTGCTCACATTACAACTCTAAGAAAGTAGTGTAGACGTTTCCCCACTGAGCACGAATCTAAGAACCAGTGCAAAACTGTATGGGAAACAGTCTAGAAACAAGTCTGGGAGCCTAACTTCTGGTAGTTGAATTAATCACCTCAGAACCTGGAAATTAGGCATTGAGTTATAGTTAGACTGTGAATCAAATAGCCCAGGTCTTCTTGGGTACTTCTGGCTTGGGTCTCCTCATTCTTATACACCTTTTTTTTTTTTTAAAGACAGTCTCATTATGTCGTCCCAGCTAGCTTGGAACTTGCTATGTCTACCACACTGGCCTTGAACTCAGAAATCTGCCTGCTGCCTGCCTTTGTCTCATAAGTGCTGACAATATAAAGTGGCCATCTCACTTACCTTGTACAAACGTGTATGAATAATGTTCTACCTGAAAATGAATGCACTGACTATGTTGTTCCTCATCCTTTTTCTTTTCAGTTATCCCCAAGTTAAATTGTGTGTTCACCATAGAAATGGATGGCTTTATTTCCTACATTTATGGAAGCAAATTCCAGCTTCGGTCAAGTGAGAGGTCTGCCAAGAAGTTCAAAGTAAAGGGAACGATTGACCTGTGAACTCTCTGCCACTGGAGACAGAAGTCGCTGGCAGCTGAGAACTGGAAATACTTTAAATACCCACTTTTCCATGAAAGCTTTCTGGCTGTGGCCCTCCTGTAGTCCAGGGAAAGCAGAGTGGCTGAGGAACTTTGAGCAATATAAGAAGTAGTCAGGGGTAGAGGTTTGCCTCTCCAGGGAGGAAAGACTAGCAGAAAATGCACCAGGACTAACCCTGGGTGATTTGAGGAAGGGTGCCGTTAGGTTCTATCCTTCATACTTTCCTGTGTTTCATACATTCTGTGCTGAATCAGTTATTCAGTTAATAACAAAATACACTACAGGCATAAATGGGCTCAAATGAAAGAATCTTCTTGACTTTCTGGGTTGAAAGGGAAGGGGCTTTTGTGACTCCCTCATCCCATGTCCATCTACCACCTCCCATTGCTTTCACAGTGTGGAACATCATGGTTCTGACTGGAGGTCAGTCCTGCTTCAAACTCTGCACTGCCTACAGTTTGCTGCTCTCACATGGAGGCATAGTGACCTTGCTAGATGGCTCAGGGCTTCACTGCAGCAGTCAGAATGGAGCAGAGAGGCAGGTCTGCCAGTACCTGTTGGCTACTATTTGGATAGATTGGCCAATGTATCTAGCAATGATACCTTTGGCATCTTAGTTCCATTTTTGCTGCTGAAATCATAGCTTTTCTACTGTGTAAGGCCAGATGAGGTCTTTCTGCACAAGACCATTGGAACTGCAGGTCAGGGCCAGCATGAGAAATGGGGGGGGTCCAGCCACTCAGTGCCAGTATTAGGAAGACCTTGTCCTTGAAACCTGGTTCAGAGGCATCAGTTGTCCCTTGCTTGTAAGAAGTGTCTGCTGGCCAGCTTAGAAACTCGCCCTGTCAATAATAAGTGACAACCCATCCACCCACTCACCCCAGGTAAGCGGTGTGCTGGTGGTCAATTCATTGGTGCCTCCCACTCAGACAACACTGGATGAAAGAGGAATGAGTGAGCCTAATGTCCTTTACATGACACGAAAACAGAAAGCCTACTTTCTCCCAGAAATCAAAGTGCCCCCCTAAGTCCTAGAGACTATCCAGGCCCTGGTTTTATCTATATCATCTAGACATTCCTCATGGCACTGACCCTCATGTTATCACATAGTCCTTGCAACCCAGGTTCAGAGCACACATGAGCCCTCAGCCTGAAAGTGATCATTGTCCAAGGTCTCATGGACTGGGAGATTTGAACCAGAAAGCCTGGGTCCAGAGTCATGTTCTTCCCAGCAGGACAGCTACAGAGATGTAAAGGAGACTGCTAAAATATGTATATATCCCTTATTTACCCAGTTCTCTACCAAGGAACTCTGTCTTCTGTGTAGAGACTGCTGTTCTAGCCAGCCAAAAGTGTATGGGTGTTACAAATTTGGAGCAGACCTGCTCATCCCTGCCTCTCTGTGATGTAAAGTGCACACTATGTTGCATAAACACAGTTGCTTCCCAGAAAACCTGCTGGTGCCATTTGCCAACTGAAACGTTTTTCTGCTGGCCCCAACTCAAGTTTCCATTGACTAAGGACACTCTCTCTCAGGGGAGACAATGTGATGCTCACCTGCCACAGAGTCTCTGCTCTTTGCCTTGTCTGGGATGTGCTGCTATTGTCTCCCTGATCTTCCCAGGGGACCAAGGTCCACAGCATCCTCCCAGGCACTGGTCCTAGGGAAACTGCACTCGGTACTACATGGAGTATGGCTAGCCAAGTCCCCACACCTTCATAGTACTTGGCACTCGTGACTCTGTCTCCAATGAGCAGGACTATGGTAGAAATGAGATTTAGGGTATAGAGAGCCACATGTGACAACCAGCTCTGTTGAATGTAAACCATGCACTACAGAAACATTGGCCCCAGAAGCCAATGTTAAAAGCTGTTGGCACCTCAAGAAAGGACTCAGAATGCTATCGAGATTAGTTTGTGCTAAGTGTTCCTCCTGACTGGTCAACAGCCACCTCTCGCTGTCCTATGGTCTATCCTCAAGAGTGGGGAGCTCTAGTGTGTCTCTTATAATGATACTGGGCCATTGAATTAACATCTCATCCTATGACCCATTTATCCTTAGTTACCTCCTTAAAGATCCTATCTCCAAACATAGTCATGTTGGAGGTTAGAGCTTCAACATAGGAATTTGAGGAGGGGTAGTGTACCCTTCAGTAACAACTGTGAAATGTTCCTAATTAGAAAAGGTTGTCTATACCTTCCAGGAAGGTGGCAATATCCACTCTGGACCCCATATGCAGAATGGCCTGGGTTTCTCTGGTGTTTCTTTGGTGTATGGTATGTGTGGGCCACCAGCCAGCTCAACCTAACTGCTAGACTCCAAGTTCCTTTATTTTGTCAGCATGCACAGTATCCAGACTCCTGGAGTTATCAGCAGCTAAACTCCTCCCTCCTTGTTCCACTGGGAATAGCACAGTCTGATTGTAGATGTGTAGAGTGATAGGGTGGTTAATGTCAACATGACTGCATTGAAAAATGCTTAAAAAAGTAGTACACTTCTTGCTGTGGCTCTGAGAGCTTTGCAGAGAAGATTAATTGAAGGAGAAGATCCACCCTATACATGGGAAGTTTCATCCCCTAGGGTCAGGAGCTGGGTACAAGAAAAGAAAGCTTGCTATATGTCCTTTTCCACTGTGTCCTCCCTGCCATGATAACTGAAGCTCAGACCAAAATAATGCCCTCCTCATGTCATTTATGTCAGGTATTTTATCACAGGAACAAAAAGCCTAACATAGAGGATGGGCAGAGTTGGCCCCTGAGGAGAGCCATGGGATATCAAGAATCTAATCACACCCAGGTTCAGAACCATCATAAAGAACCCAGGAAATCAAAACAAGGCCTGAAAAGGTCTGCTACTGTTCTCCCCACCAAGCAGGAGAAGTGGAAAGGGGACATGTGGCCACCAGTCTCAATCCCATAAGACATACCTTAGATTGCACCCAACTCATTAGTGGTGGGGTGAGATGGCAGGAACTTCTACTCACTTTCAAAATCATGGAGCAGGATACAAAATTCTGAACAGTTTATTAATACTTGAAATCTTTCAGGGTCTCCAAGCTGCTATCTGTCAAATGGGATAACTTGACTGCATGAAGGCCGCCACAATCAGGCTCCTGGGATTCTGGACCGGAATAAGCAGGCATATGTCTGCAGCAGCTGATCCTATGCTGCACTTCTATTGGTGAAATTATTAAGGCCACTCCAGGTAGTTAAAAGTGAGGTTTATTTTGGGGTAATTTACAAGTGAAGGGATAGGTAACAGGGTCTGGGAAAGGTGTAGCATAGTCCGGGAGTGTTCTCTGGAGAACTCTGCTCGGTCTTCCTCCAGCGTCCAGGGTCCAGGAACCAAGAGAGCTGGCGCATCCGGATCTCAGGTCTTCAGGGTCCTCTCTCGGCCCCGCCTTGTCGGCGTGACAGTTACTGAAGCTTCAGTGGGGGTTGGAACTTCCAGATCAAAGCTGGAATGGCTACCCACTACACACTTCAGCCATACTAAGTCAGACTCCAGGAGTGGAATCTGTATGTTTGTGTAACACCCCACCTGCTTCCTCCATTCACCAGTATTTGAAGATGGTACATTCCAGATGGCATCTAAGTCTCTTCCAGTCCTGATGTCTGATTTGACCAGGCTTGAGCCAGGCGTTTCTGAATGCTGAAAAGGATCACCCAATGACCAGTCTCTCAGGTTCTGAAGAATAAACATGAAGATTCTTCCCCAAATCCATCAATTAGGGTAAAAGGCTCACTTTCTGGACAATGGCTTTTGTGTTAATTTAGTTTGCATTCCTTAACTACAATGCCTCATTAAGACATCTGTTAAATGTCTATAATATTAATTTAATAGAGGGGGTTCCAATAGAACTGTATTGAATTGTCTATTTTTTTGTTTGTTTGTTTTTTCGAGACAGGGTTTCTCTGTGTACCTTTGCGCCTTTTTCCTGGAACTCACTTGGTAGCCCAGGCTGTCCTCGAACTCACAGAGATCCACCTGCCTCTGCCTCCCGAGTGCTGGGATTAAAGGCGTGCGCCACCACCACCCGGCTTGAATTGTCTATTTAATCAACCTCATAGGCCTTTAATGGAGGTCTTAAATAGACATGATTAACAAGAGTACTAGACAAATTAAAATTAGAGTCAATAACATTCTTGGTAATTTCTCATGAGCTGTGAAGGACAAGCATTGCTAAGTAGGCAAACACAGAGATGACTGCAAAAGAAAAAATGTTGGAGCAGCAGGAAATCCAGAATGGACAAGGCCCTGAGGGTTCACCATTTTGTTTCTCAAGAGATTGTGACAAAGAAAGATGTTTCCCAGCCACCAAGATGGTACTCATGAGCAAAGGCCTCAGCCTTCATATGCATTTACAGAAAATATCTTCTCTCTTTGTGTTCCAATCAGCTGAGCTCCAAGGAAGGGAGAAGTGTGGAAGGGAAGGAGATGGTGAAAATGTAAGGGATGGAGGAAGAGAGAGAGGTATAAAAGAGAGGGGAGGGTCATGACATTGGACCATAGACCAGGCACAGTGGGACTGAATAGGATAAAGCAGGTTAATTGGGATGGTGTGTTGAATGGGATGAGATGTAGAATACTACATTGCTTCTGCCTCCACCAACCACTCACCAGCTCACTCAAGTGATGCATATTTGCAAAGCTGAAGGCAATCTTCATATTTATCTCATCTGACCTCCCTCCAGTCAGCACTTAACATGGGTAAGTAACTATTCCTCACCCAGGAACCCTTTTATCCCCACCTTCCTAACCTTCACCAACTTCCTGGCCACTCCTTAGAGTCCATCAATGGATCTTCATATCCCAGACATGGAAATGTTGGGTTGCCCTCAGCCCCATCTTTGGACTTCTCTCCAAATTCTCTCCGTGTCTGATCACATGGCCACAGCCCCAGGTAGACCTAAAGTTCTCGAAATCATATTGTCAACAAGAGAGGAGGTATGATTTCATTGTCTTCCTCTCCCAAGTTAGAGTTAAAGCTCAGCAAGAACAAAGACTGTTTTGATCATTTTGGATCCCCAATTATCTAGAGCAAACCTGACCCAAGGTAAAGGTTCATTGAATGGTGGTGTGAAAACACTACCCTTTGACCTCTCCACATAAGTATATCTACACCCACCTCATGGAATTGTCTTATTGTCTCTGTAACACAGGGACAAGGTCCGCTTTTGTCTTGCTTCCTCTCTTTTGTCCACAACCCCATCCAACCTTTCTTGAAGTCCTACTGAGTGTCAACTTACATAGGAACTCAAGGCTCCTCTCCTCCCAGCTCTTCTCACAGTCCTATCTCTTGACCTCATCCTCCCATACACCAACTGCCCAGTCACAGCCCGTTATCCCATGGCTTCCATGACTCCATACTTGGGCACATACAGACAAGGTGACCATTGAAACGTGACTCAGTCACTTAAAACCCACAAGTAACCTTCTCCTAACTTGATGTTAAGTCATGCTCCAGACAAGAATTCCATGATGGCCCTAGGCTTCCCCTCCCCAGTCTTGTCCACTAAGACTCCTCAAATGTGCCTCTGCTCCACTCTCAGTGTTTGCACTTGAGTTATTATTTTGTGGAACATTATTTCCCTCATCGTTTAACCCCATGTCAGCCTCATCTTCTGCATTTGTCTCTGTTCTAATGGAAGGTTACCTCATGGCCTTCCCAGCTCATCCCCACCTTCCTAGCTCAGCAGCCCCTCCTCCACCAACCTCTATCATTTCTTGTGTGTCCCACAGCGCTCCTCAACTGGGACTTTGCCTATCTATTTGCCATTAGAACAGAACCTAAACATCCCCATATGGTGCAGAATACTGCTTTGCATAGAAAGGGTTTAGGAGTCATGGTGGCACACACCTGTAATCTCAGCACTCAGGAAGCCTCTGAGGCAGAAGGATCATGAGTTCCAGGCCAGCCTGAGCTGCATAGAAAAATCTGTCTCAAAAAAACACCACAAGGAAGACATCAAAGTGTAGTCCTCCTGGTAGAGAGCCTTGCCTAACATGCTCAAAGCCCTAGGACCCATCCTCTCCACAGGAAAACATATGTTCATAAATATTTGTTGCTTATCCAGTCATAATGGCTCATACTAGTAAACCAATCATTTGGGAGGCTGAGGCAGAAGGATAGCCATGACTTCAAAGTCAATAGTGAGTTCCAGGTCAGCAGCCAGCACAAACAGACACGCACACAATGTATATTGTATTGCCCCATTAAAAAGAGAGAGAGCAAGCCAAGGGTGTAACTATGATGGGTGGGCGTTGGTTCACACAGCTGCCATGATGACAGCAGTGACTCCATCTCTGCCCTTGTGACTTGTCCACAGCAGATTCATATGCTGCCCTACCCTCCCACACAAGTGGGCACTGCATCCAGCAAGAGCCCTGGTGCCAGAACTGCCCTGTGTCATCAGAGCCTGCCCCCAACACACATAGAAGCACAAGTCCACAGTCCACAAATAGCAGGAACATATAGCCAATCCAGCATTACTATGCCTTTTTAGTTCCACCCATTGAAGCACAGTGTGAGCCTCTGTGCTGTTGTCTTTGAGAGTCAGGAAATCAGAGGTCAAGGCCCAACTCACTCTCAGCACTCAGTTTCAACAACAGAAGATGGAATAAGGAGCAGTGTCTAATACTGAAGCATTTAATACACACACAAAAATTGAACTTTCAGCCAAAAGTGAGGGAGAAAGAAATCGTCACATATAATGCTTCCAGTGGCCCTCTGTGTGGAAGTCTTCCAGAGTCCAGCTCTGACCTACTCCCATCTTTCAAAGAGTTCTTGGGGGAAGGAGAGAGGAATGAGGAAATTATAAAGATAGAAAGAGACAATAAGAAAGACAGAGACACAGGATAGCTTTGGGAGGGCCCTTGGCCAATACCCAGTCAACTTGAGGTTTGTTCCAAAGGGCTTTTTGTACAGTGCCAAGGGGCAAGGCAAAAGACCTCCCCTATCAAGACCAAAGCATAATGTACAGCCAAGTGTAGACCCTTCAAAATACCTGGTAACCATGCCCATAGCCAAATCATCCCATTATGCAGCCCTGCTGGGTAAAGCAAGCTCAGACTCTCTGACCTTGAGTAATTTGGGCCCCCACACCTCTGTCCACAGAAAGCTTCCCTTGCAGGGATCATGAGGTGCAGAGCCGTTGGCTGCCACAGTCTCCCCCACCAGTATATGATTATACTGTATTCCATGACAACACAGGCCACATAAACTCATTCTACAGATGCATGCATCTCTTCCTGACACCATGTTTGTGGTGGCAGCACGGAATTGACATGGCAGGACTTTCAACATTGCAAATCACAAGAACAAATGGGGCTCCTTCAAGATGCCACTGCTTGGAAATAGGGGTGCATCCCTGCCCTCAGCAGAGGGAGTGACAAGGGCAAGCCAAGAGCAGCAGCCCCAAAGACCCAGGGTCAGCCTCTGCCATGCCCTTCCTGCTTGGGGCCTGAAAGGTTGCCTTCAGACCTAGCCCCACGGAAGACACAGTAATACAGTCCAGGAGCTGAAAACATGGGTATATGTGCTGACCAGTAATCAGAGAATTATAAACTTAATGGTTGTGCTTTCTCTGGCTCCCGCCTGTCTCCATTGGAACAAACAGCAAGCCTTTCCTGCCATGATGGACAGAGCCCTCTGAAACTGTGAGACAAAGCATCCTTTCCAGCTTAAGTTGCTTCTGTCAAGCATTTTGTAACCACAAGAAAATGTATGCATACTTGAATAAAAAATGTTAACCAGACCAGGTAGTTCATGCCTGGAGGAGGATTAGGGAGGAGGATCACACGTGAAAGGCCAGCCTATGATACCACAAGAGCTCAAAGCCAGCCTGGAAGACTTCAACACTGTTCTGTTAAAAGGAAAAGGAAAAAGAAAGTTGCAGTTTTTTTGCTATAGTTCCTTCCAATCAGATGTAGATAATGTCTATCTCCTCCTCCTCCCTCTCCTCCTCCTAAGGTGCCAAAAACAAAGCAAGACGTGATTCAACCAGAGTTTACTTTGGGAAACCAGTGAGTTGGCAGACATACTTACAGAGCAATGGCTGACTTCAAAGCAGCCACACTGGAAGGTCTGCATCCAATATGGATGAGAACTCCTCTGTAGCTATGGGCATGGAGTCCCCTTGTCTCCTTAGGTTTCTGTTGCTCTGATAAAACACCATGACTAAAAGCACCTTGGGAAAAGGAAGGTTTAATTTCACTCCTATGCTGGCTAGGTCTTATGTCAACTTGACACAAGCCAGAGTCATCTGAAAGGAAGAAACATGAATTGAAAATGCCTCCATAAGATCCAGCTGTAAGACAATTTCTTAATGAGTGATTGATGTGGGAGAGCCCAGTCCACTGTGGGTGGTGCCATCCCTGGGATTGTGGTCTTGACTTCTGTAAGTATGCAGGCTCAGCAAACCATGGAAAGGAAGCCAGTAAGTCCTCCTTTTCCATCACCTCTGCATCAACTCCTGCCTTCAGATGCCTGCCATGTGTGAGTTCTTGTCCTGAATTCCTTCAATGATGAATGTCAATATAGAGGTACAAGCCAATTAAACCATTTTATCCCCAACTTACTTTGGGTCATGGTGTTTTGTTGCTGAAATAAAAACACTAACTAAAACAACCCACATTCAGTCATGGTTTATCATGAAGAGAAGTCAGGACAGGAACTTAAGGCAGGAACAGAAGCAGGGAAGCAGAAAAGAATGTTACTTACTGACTTATTCCTCATAGGTTGCTTACTCTGCTTTCTTATAACTTCCAGGAAGAGCTGGCCAGGAGTGTACCACCCTCAGTAAACTAGACCCTCCCACATCAATCTTTAAGAAAGAAAATTCCCTACAGACAATCCAATGGAAGCATGTTTTTT